TGGGTCTGTTAACTGGATGTAAATATTCCATGTTGGAAACATATACCATTACCCTGTGCCCTGTAAATATATACAATTAGTATGGTCAACTAAAAATAAAAATTTCGTTTTGGTTTTTTGTTGTTGTTGTTTGGTGTTTTAAGACAGGGCCTCACTGTGTAGTCCAGGCTGGCCTTGAGCCTTGAACTCACTTTGTAGCCCAGGGTGGCCTCAAACTTGTGTCAGTCCTCCTGCCTCAGCCTCCCGAGTGCTGGGATTACAGGCATGCGCCACCACATCCAGCTAAAAATAAAATTTTTATAAGCAGCTTTATTCGCAAGCATCCTGCTGGCTGGATCTCAACCAGAGATGCACCGTGTACATCAGAACTCACCAGGTCTAAGAGCTGAGTAGTTCTTCCGTTTGTATTCCCCATTTCAGACGCTATGAACAAGGTAGTTCTCCTAGACACCCCTCCTTCATGCGTCCTCATGCATTCGGTTACCAAGTTCTTCCATGTGTGCCTTAAAGCTCTTTGAAGTAAAGGAAACGTTGCTTCAAATAAAGGTTTTTTCAAAAGCCTAATATGTAGAATAACAAAAGCCAGGTTCTGTCCAATTAGTCTTCTGCTGTGGCTGCTCATAGGTGCTGGTGCCCTCACCAGAAGTGTGAAAACCACTGGTTTAAAGGCTGTCCTAGGGCTGGCCTGACATCTGACCTGTCAGAAATCTGTCAGCTTCGGCCACAGAGAGGAACAAAGCACTGAGACCTTGACAGCATGGATGAACCGCAGAAGCATACTGCCTGGATGAAGCCACACACAAATGCCACATTATGGTATTCTCCCATTTCTATGTAACAGCGGAACAGGCAAATCCATACAGGTGGCTGTGGGCACAGGAAAACAGTGACTGCTAATGGGCTCCAGGTTTCTTTTTGTTTTTGTTTTGTTTTTGTTTTTGAGACAGGATCTTGCTATGCAGTTCAGGCTGGCCTTGAGCTCACTTTGTAGCCCAGGCTGGCCTCAAACTCACTGCGATTCTCCTGCCTCAGCCTCCCAAGTGCTGGGATTACAGGGGTGCACCACCACACCTGGCTCCAGGTTTCTTTTTGAGATGAAAGTGTTCTGCGCTTAGAAAGTGGTGGTGGTTGTATAAGCTTGTGAAGATACTGAAAAGCACTGATTTGCACACTCTTAAGGGGTACATTTTATGTTATAAGATTTATATCTCAATAAGAGTTGCAGTGGCATACTATTCTGTTCCATGGAATTGGTTATTGGAAAGAGGTAAATTGTTATCCAAACAAGCTAGTCATGAGTTTATTTCTATGATGTTAATATTTGTAAAATTACATGAAGGTAACATATTTATAGAAATGTGACTGACATTTTCTGTGACATGCACAAATCTGCCTAGAGCAGTGAGAACTCTCTACCACTACCAACAAAAAACTCATTATTCTCGGCTTAGAACTAGAGTCCTAAAAAGAATTTCCAAGGCAACTTTTTTTTTCTTTTTCTTTTTTTGTCTTTTTGAGGCAGAGTCTCGCTATGCAGTTCAGGCTGGCCTTGAGCTC